ATTCCTAAATGAATATTACGTAATTGGATTTGGCAGATTCTGGATACAATTGGGGACAAAGGGCTTGGTATTGTGGGGTCCACATGCAAAGAACTCCATGAACTAAGAGTTTTCCCATCCGACCTGTACGGCGTTGGGAATGCTGGCGTGACCGAAGAAGGTCTGGTCGCAATCTCAGCCGGCTGCCCGAAGCTCAACTCGCTACTCTACTTCTGCCAGCAGATGACCAACGCAGCCCTAACCACAGTGGCCAAGAACTGCCCGAACTTCATCCGCTTCCGTCTCTGCACTCTCAACCCAACCGTGCCAGACGCCACCAACGGCCTCCCGCTCGACGAGGGCTTCGGGGAAGTTGTTCGTTCGTGCCGGGGCCTGAGGCGGCTCTCTGTCTCGGGCCTGCTGACCGACAAGGTGTTCTTTTACATAGGGAAGCATGCCGAGAATCTGGAGATGCTGTCTGTTGCGTTTGCAGGGAACAGCGACAAGGGGATGATGTACGTGCTGAGTGGGTGTAGGAAGTTGAGGAAGCTTGAGATTAGGGATAGCCCGTTTGGGGATGGTGCGCTGCTGGCGGACGTGGGAAAATACGAGACAATGCGATCCCTTTGGATGTCGGCGTGTGAGGTGACGCTAGGGGCGTGCAGGGAGGTGGCTGGGAGGATGCCGGGGCTCAACGTGGAGATCATTGACGAATGTGGGCCATACGATGGGGATGAGGACGGGAAGGCCAAGGTGGAGAAGATGTACTTGTACCGGACGCTGGTGGGCCCACGTGGGGATGCGCCGGAGTTTGTGCGGACGCTGTAGGGATGATTAAGTATGGAGGAATTGGTTTTTGTTAATTTTTTTTTTTTTTAATAATTTCGAGCATTCCCTATGGTGTGTTTCATAATTGNGATGGGAACCGTATTTATGGATACATGCAAGTTTCATTGGGGGTATTAGGACTTGGATTTTATTAACTGAATTTAGATATTAATGTTGTAAGGATGTTTTTGTTAATATTGGTTGCTAGTTTACCTTCGTCTATTGTGTTTGACCGTGATACTTGGAGTTTTTTCGCCTCTTTTGGCGTAGTTGGTGGCGCCAGACTTATACACGGTTGGATTTTAGCAGCCTATCACCCACGGACACCCACAGACGGATGGTCAAATGGATCACGGACACCCACGGACGGATGGTCAAATGGAGGTTGTTAATCATTCGCTTGGGAATCTGTTGTAATGTTTGGTGGGCGATAAGTTAAAGAGTTGGGATCAGAAGTTCAGTCAGACTGAGTTTATCCATAATTTGTGATTAATTGGGCTACGCGATTTTCTTCATTTCAGGTGGTGGTCCTGTGGTTTTGGTGGCATTGCCGTCGACGGAGCCGTGTCGAGGTTTTTATGGTGAACTCATGCGACGGCTCGGGCGAATTTGGATGAAGCGGCTATTGCGTATAAGCGTCATGCGGATGCTCGTCGACGCCACGTGGAGTTTGAGGTTGGTGATTATGTTTGGAGTTTGAGGTGGGTGAGACTGTTTGGGTTGTGTTGATGAATGATCGATTTTTTACGAGTATAATAAGTTAACTGCCAGGAAGATAGGTTCGGTCGAGATCGTGGAGAAAATCAATGTGAATGCTTACCGCCTACGTCTTTAGTCGCACATTCGCACTTCGGATGTGTTCAGCATCAAACATTTGGTGTCGTTCCTTGGTGACAACTCCAAAAAAGACAAGATTGGGTCAGATTCGAGGGTGAATCTTTATCACCAAGGGGAGAATGATGAGTCGAGATTGCGCTCGCCTTCTTGAAGAAGCTTTGGCGTATTTAATATAATTATGTATTTCCCTTTTTATCATTATTATTATTAGATGCAAATTATAGTTTGGTAGGTTAATATTTATTTATTTAGCCAACTCATTTTTTTGTTAGGTAAGTTATTTAATTACAACTTTGTCAGATTCTATTTATTGGCTTCTTCTTCATTATGGAGAATGTCAAGTCATAAATGGAGAATTGATCAAGTTTATGAAATAAGAATATTTTCTTGAGAGTTTATCTGTTGTTTTTTCTTTCTTACCCTTTCGCTACGTCAGAAGTTCCTGGTAATCATGGCGGGGCAGGAGAAGCCAACTTACCTAGCGACGCTGATGTCGAGTCGAGCGTCGTTGTTTGGAAGCAAAAGCAGATGCAGTAATGATAATACGACATCGTCTGTGGTGGCGGTGGCGGGGTTTGTGGGGGATGGTGGCGGCGGGGAACTGTTGCGACGGTATTGACGTAACCGACAAGGCTTGTGGCCACGACCGGTCGTGCCAGTGATGGAGAAGGTGGCTGCTGGTGGCTCTGTTACATTGTGTGTGTTGTGTGTTTTAAGTGTAAGTGTATGTGTGTCAGAGAAAGAGAGAGAGAGAGAGAGAGAGGGATTTAGTGGGTAGGTGGTGGGGCCCATGGGTGAATGTGTAATGTCCGTTTTACCCTTATTAAGTGGTTAAATGTGTGTATTTGACCACGAAACGCACACTTATTCACGAAATTGCCATCACATGTTTGACTTACATATTTAAATTTGACTTGATCATGATCATTGATATATTGGATCCAATTGTACATATTTATTCTTATTTTTTTTACTATCTACCATTCTCATTTGATCTTTACACAGTGAGATCTCTCAATACGATGAGAATGATTGGGAAAAATTGATGAGAATAATCATTTCCCTGCATAAATGACACAATAAAAGCTTTATTGAAGATTAAAATTAATATTTCCTAAACATGTGGCTCTTTGTGTATTATGTGGGAATTTAGGATTAATCTAATTCATTGAACTTTTTTTTTTTTTGGTGTAAAGCTGAGATTGTTTAAAATCTATTTAGTTTACTTATTTAAACCTAATCATATATAAATGCTTTGAATTGTAATTCAAATTTTAAACGTGCTTTCTCACTCAACATCTTTCAGAAAATAAAATTGAGCCATCTTACACCATCTTTATCCATAATCCAACTCAATCTAATTTGTTATTGAAATTATTTCTCTCTCTTCTACCTACAGATACCAACTTATTTTTATTCTCAACCCAACCTAAAATATTTATTTTATTTTTATTTTTTTATTTATTAAGTATTATCTACAATTATTTTTTGTTATCATTTTAGTTATGAAAAAGTAATTTAAAAAATCTATACTTAAATTCGTAATGATTTCAAAAAATTAATATCTTACCATACAATTTGAAAAATACAAACATAACTACATATTGAAACTACAAAAATTAGAATAAAATCCCTCCCTATATATTAATTCAAAACATTTTGAGCCTAAATGGCAGATTATCACGCTTCGGATGCTGACATGACGAAAATCTATGCTTCGTACTGTTGTTTATATATTCATTTTTTTCTTGGAGTTAGGCTTGATATTAGACATAAATAACTTTTTTCAAACTTGGTAAGTGTATATATTTAATTTTGTTATTCTTTGTTCTTTTAGTACGCATTTTTTTCTTAGTTTGGGCAAGTAGTAATCTTACCATATTATAATTTTCTCCCTATTTTTTCTCCTAAATTACGATTTACAAATCACTTTCTGCATTGTCTATTCTTCTTTTTATTTTCATCAATTAGTCCATCAAAATTTTCAAATAATTTTTTTTAGCAATAACTTTTATCATATATTTCTTAACTCAAGACCCGTGTAGTACACGGGTATTGTACTTGTATTAAAATTAATTAAACAAGTGACAAATACTTCGAATGAAATTACACATAAATTACCATTACCAAAATGACACAAGTTAAAGTTAATTTACAAAAATTTACAATGAATTTTTAAATACAATTGTTGTTAATCGACGTGTCATCTCTTCCTCTTTCCATTACCGAAATGACATGAACTAAAGTTACATGACAAAAAATTATAGTGAATTTTTAAATACAGTTGTTGTTAACGACATTTCATCTATTCATCTTCCAACGATAAGTGGTCCTTTGCCAACAACACATCCGACATCATAATACTAATTTTCTTAGTCTTTCTTTCTTCTTTTTTTATGCGTTCCAGCTCGATCCTATCGTTCATTATTTTGGTCATTAAATCATAATCGTTGTTTCTTGTAAGTCTTAGTATACAAATTTCTGCAGTGAACTTTTCAGGAATGGAAGAAGATTGTGAAGTATGTGCCTATGTGTCTGTCATACAGGGCCGTCTCCAGAAATTTGGAGGCCCTAGACAAGTTTGTCCTTTTCGAATTTTCCGATTTGAACTTGCGTGGTAATTAGACTATTTGCAGATAGAATCATAGAAAAAAAAACTTAACTAAAAAAGACTATTAAATAAATAAATAAATAATTGAAAAAAAAAATAATTATTCTTGTTTTTCTAGACCTTGAAATTGATAAATTACCTATGGGTTACAAAAATATTTAATAATTTACATTCAAGCAGTCATTAGAACAACAAGGAGAAGAAAATAAAAACCATATCAATGCAAAGAATATTTATTGTCACACAATTGTTCTAAGCAAACATCATAAGAAAACAAATGAATGTCCTCAAATTTCTACACAAAGTATATATTTTATCATTAACTCATTCATTAATTAACCCCTTCATTTGTATAATTGGTCAAACTCATCACAAATACATAATATTGAAAAAAAAAAAAAAATGAGGCCCCAAATATATAGGGAGGCCCTAGGCATGGGCCTAGGCTACCTCCCTAAGGAGCCGGCCCTGCTGTCATACAATAGAATAGGTTCTCAGCCTACATCGAGAGTTGTTTTGCTATCTTGTTTCCTTTCTTTTTAGCCATGTCTATACCTTCGAGACGTGGAATTGTTGAACCATCACTAATTGAAGTTTCTGAATTTGAGAAAACTGAATAATCTCCATCTTCAGTATCTGTTTTAACCGCCTCGACTTTCTTTATTACTCACTTTATTGTACTCATTACTTTCCGATATATGGAATGATCTGGCTCACGTATTAATCTCAGCCCAAGTGAAAGAACAAGACCTAAGACCACGAAAATCACTCCGCAGGTGGCCCAATAAATCTCAGCTAGGGTTGTTGATTTCTCGATCGGCACAATGTCTTTCACCAAATGGTTGTATTTACTGTCTTACGGGTGGAGATAAAATATCCCGATCCCTCTTTGGTTGTTCTCCACACATACAAGGAGTCCAACTCTTCCCTTGTTGAAATCTGGCATCCTTTCGACGCAAACATCGCCACTAACGAACACAAGCGGTATATAACGTCCAGGTGTACTAAGGCAATGGAGATCCCCACACTCATTCAAATATTAGGCGATCATATATGGCAACGAAAATCTCAATGGATAGTATCGCCTCTTTGAGCACTGTGACGCTCCCCTTCGGGGGTGGTAACGCAAAACACTCCGACCGACTTGAAATCAGCTTGCCTCCTTCTTCCTCGCCGGTAGAACGCCGCGTTCCTGCACAGAACTCTCACACCGGAGGGGTTTTCCGGTAAAGAGCCTCCGATGCTTAAGTCAGTATGTGTTTGTTCAATTTTCCAAAGTAAAGAATGGATAAATCGTAGGCTACAAGAAAAGACCCACTCCCATATATATAGGAGTGAGATACCTGCCCTAAAAACTGCCTGGCTTTTGGTGAGTTGTCCTGCCCGTACTGCCCGTCCGTACACACATAGTGTGCGTGTGTCAGAGATGTCAGGGGTGGTTTTCGCCACTATCACTCTGCACCAATATATTCTCGCCACGTGTCCCTCTGAGCTGAGGGAGATTATTCTCCTGCGTAGGCCGTTGGGATCTTCTAACGTCATCCACGCGCCTTCTCGCATTCAAGCCACGCTCTAGACTGCTCTTCACCTGTTGGGTGCTCGATCTCCTCCCTTTTGGTCGATCCTCGACCAGTTTTGCTATTCTGCTCGATCTTCTCTCTTTTGGTCGATCCTCGACCAGTTCTGCTCGATCTTCTTCTTTTTAGTCGATCATCCTTCTACCAATCCGGTTTCCTCCACTTCGAGGTTGCTCGACCGATGATGCAAACCGGTCTATTCCTCAGCTATATAATATCCCATATCAGGGGGATAGTGGGTCCGCTCTCCTTCATATGGAGCGAACATCTTGACGACACCAAGGATCTCTACTTCTCGCGTACCTTTAACAGCTCATGATCTTCAATATTGATCTCCTGATTGCAGATCTCCATATCACGCTCTGTCAAGGACACTCTTATCGGCAGACGACGCCAAAAACCCCTAGTGTCGGAATCTGATCTTCAAGATCTCTCATTTCGCAATCGCTTGAAGAAGACATGACTAACAGAAAAATAAATGAGAAAAATAAAGAAAAAACTAGGGTTTTGATTTCAAAAGTCCAAATTCTTGGGTATTTCTGATAAAACAAACGAAGTGCTCTCCTTTTATATGCAGAGTTGCCATCCAATCATTGCACCCAATCGCATTAAGGCACAAATTCTAAGAGACGCGCCCGCACTTGAACTGACATGTCTTAAATCTCGACAGGATATATAAATTCATTTAATGTTTTGAAACGACGTCTCGCATCCATCCGATGTAACAGTCACATGATCAGTAAAGCACCTCTATGCCAGCGCAAAACATTTCGACTTAGCTTTCCATGCGGCTCAAGCAATATCTCCCCGCCTAAAAACTTGGAAGTCTCTATGTTGTACCCATAAATTTCCCATCATATGGAATTATGTGGTCCACTATTAATCTCAGCCCAAGTGAACGAACAAGGCCCAAGACCAAGAAAATCACTCCGCAGGCAGCGGACACGATCTCAGCTAGAGTTGCCGATTACTTGATCAGCACGACGATTAACCGCAGAAGCTTCTCGAGGAAGATTGACGATCACCCTAACCGTCTGAACACATCCTGATAAATTTGGTACCACCGCACAACATGTCCATCAATTTTTACATAAAAACACGCAGCGCCACCCTATGTCCTCAGCTGACACTCCTCATTTAATACATCAACACCTTTTTTCGTGTATAAATACTGGCCCTCAAGCCCAAAAGTAGGCAATCAATCCCAGAAAAATATAAGCCAATTCTACACACACTTAAGCCATCCTTGACTAATTTTTCAAAGATCTCACGATCCTTGCAACCATATTCTTGGAAAAAACAGTTGATCTCCTATAGTCATACACAAAACATTTAGTTGTAATTCTCATACACTATTCTCAATAAACATCTTGGAGAAACCTGCTCATTGCCAATCGCTAAAGCCGATCAGAAAAATCTGTGTCTCACTTTACTTTACGCATTTACTATTCTAGAAATCTTTTCATATTCAAATCTTACAATAATTATATTGTAACCTTTAAATAAACCGCCTTAAATATGATTTTCGTAACCATTGGCGGAAGCACCACCAACACACTTCATCTTCAGGATATGAACAAGTTGAATCACGATCTAAGTTTAATTTCCATTTGAGATGCTTTCTCAACATCTTTCATGCACATTCCACTCCTTTTATTTTTGTATGTTTCGATGTATGCACCTCTCAACTTGTTTACATTTTCATAAAGGCATTTATAACGACCTTTCATTGAATCTCACTTTTTTCACCAATTTCTTCTGGATTTTCTAATTGAGCTTGTTCAAACATTTCTGCTATGTATGCCAATAACAAAATACCCGTATGATTCTTGCCACACCTTGTCTTTGCTAATGAAACATCATGCTGACATTAGAGTAATATCTTCTGCCACACCCCAACTAACATTTTTTGTTCCTTTTTAGGATTTGTGCATGTCAATTGCACATTTTGAAATAAATTTCGAGAGAAGTTGTGAGTTCTGAACATATCCAGAAGTAGAAAATTGAGTAAAATTTGAAGAAAGCTCATGTGAATAATTTTTTAAAGTTGGAACATTTTCAACGTTTGACAAATTTTTAGAGTTAAGATAATATTGAAAATTTGGATTCATACAATATTTGTTATAAATTAGGAAAAAATGAAAAGGACATGATAAAATTAATAATGTAAGATTAAAAAAAGAGTGAAAAATAAGAAAAATTGCAATTGTGTTTGAAAATATATGAAATGTAGTCACTATTTATAGAGAATGAATAATAAAATTTTTTGTAAATTTAATTTTTTAATATAAATTAACACCAATTATTGTCCTTCAAAAATTATTTATAATTATGTTATCTAAAAGATACAATCACCCAATAAGAATGAATCAAGTGTCTCAATCCCCATATTAGATCCAGTCGCGAGCCAAAGTCATAATGTGACCTGAAACGCCTCATTTCATGACTTTTTTTAGTATTTTTTATTTTTGTCATTTCGCTGGTCATTGAGTTGAGTCACCGATATAAACCAAGCTTTAAGGGTGCGATTGGATATAAACTTAATTAATAAAAAATCAATCAAAACTCAACGCCAACTCAACTCCAATATCCTCAATATTATCAATATTACACATCACATCAATTTTAATTCAATATTCATCTACTAACATAATTTTAACAGTCACTTTCAATCATTTTTCTCTTACTTTTATATGAAATCAACTTTAATTATTTTAAACTTAAATTCCACTAACTAACCATACTACATTTTTTAAAATTAACTATAGTTAACAAAAAAATCAATAAAAAACCAATCAAATTCATATCCAATCACACCCTAAATTCCCGACAAAATTTAAATTAGATTAAATCAATAGTCCGCCAAAGAAATGGTTCAACACTGGATGAAGGCCGTTTTGACCAATTGAATGTACAAGTACAAAAGGAGGGCACCTACATACTATATATACACAATTTTATCCAGCAAAAAGGCCATAGAAAAATATAGTTGGTCAGCCCTCAAAACCAAAACACTTTCTAAGGCTGGTGCATATGCCAATTCCTGCCGCTGGCCGTCCCCTAAGATTTTCAGAAGTTAATTTAGAAAAGTTGACAGAGAAAAGATATCACAATTTTTTTTTTTTTTTCTTTCTTTTTTCCTTCACTAATTGCACCAATGCCAACCCAATAGATATCATCTGCAAGGCAAACTTCACAAGAAGCAGGATTACGACAGATGCACACGCCACCATCAGGGTACACTCCTTTCAGCATTACAAATATTGAAGAAAAGATAATAATAATTTTCACAAGAGCAAAAGTTACACACGTTTTACCTCTCTTTATCTACACCCAGAGCTTGGTCACTTCATGTTCGACAGCGACATAGGAGTCAACGGAGGAGATGGACCAGCTTCCTCCACCCTGCGCAAACCCTGAGAAGGTTCCAACAGCTTGCCAGAATGGAAAGCCCTCGCCCTCTCACTACTCGAAGGTATCGAGAAGCTTCTAGAAACAGTTAGCTGTGGACGAGGGAGTGGTGATCCCGCACGGCGCAGCGCATCAGGCGGCCTGGGGAGCTCGTGAAGCTCACTTATTTTCGGAGAGGACACAAGTGGAGGTGATGCCTTGTGAGATACGTTCACAGACAACGGGGCTCGGCTGTTCAACATGGAAGCAGCTTCACTGGCAGGTAAAAGTACAAGTGGCTTGCCGGATGAAGAAGCTTTGCTGACTATTGGGCCTGAGAAAGCCTGCCTCTTGACCTTCTGACCCTCGGATGATACGTGATGCATTTCCGGCTGCTGAGTGGGATTAGGATTATTTTCGGGTAGAGGACGAGGTAAGGGGAGAAAATGCTTCTTGTGATTGACATTTTCAGTCGCGGGTAAATAATCATCTGCTGATTTCTTCTGTTTTTCAATGTCTAGTGGGGATGAGTGCCATGGGTTTCTGGAGGGCCCCACAACGGGTGCTGGGGTAAAATTTGAACTAATTGTTATTGAACCCTTTGCATCATCTGGGGTGGGTAGCACGTGTTGTCTGCTGCTAAATTTCTGCATGGATGCCCTCATTTCTCTTATTTTTTCTGCTGGGTCGAATTTTTCAGCATATAATGGAGCAGAATGACTGCCTGCTCTATGTTGGTTTCTGGAGGCATAAATTTGAGAATCGGCGTTTTTGATTTGTGGAATTTGTTGACTTGGACCAGCCGATGGGTCCAACTGCAAATAAAATGAAATAATGAGAATATTGAGGAATCATTTGTACAGCACAATGAATGAGACTTGAGAACTGAATAAAACTCCAACAAAAAGGTTCACCTCCATGGAGTTCCTCATTCCACTAGTATTATCCGAGTCCTTTCTGCTCTGACAATATTCAAAACTCAATTCTCCATCTTCGTTAGCCTCGAAACTGTTATCATCGGCACCTTCTTCACCATCGTTTGACTCGGATAGCGCGTAGTCTATGTGCTGCTTCTCTGCAGCATCTCTAATATGTGGTTCAACAGCTTCAAGAGAAAGGAGCCCTTTCCGGAAAAAGTTTAGCTGTTTTTTTTTTTTTTTTCCAGGAAAAGAGAAGAATAATCGTGAAAGTCAGAAAGACTGGGAAAAGGATTACAACCATGAGACCACTTCAATACAACAAGCAACCTGCGCCGCATGGTGACGGGCCGCCTGTGTTAGAAGACTCCGGCATTGTCCTTGCTTCAATGATGCTACACGGAAAACGCATAGTCTTGCAGCCTCATCGTACTCTTCGCGTACTGCCTGTAGCTGCTCTGAGGTAACTGTCTCCCCTTTTCCATGTCTAGACTTCCCTTTCTCTTTAATTTGTCCCACCATGTACTCAAACATCTCTCTGCAATTCATGCATCACATTAAATTCAAGATAACACGATGAAGAATTTATCAAGTTAGAAGTGGGGAAAAAAGCACATACTTCTTCTCATCACATTGCAATTTCATCTCCTGCAACAGTGAAAAGAAAACTTATTAATTACGAGAAATGAAACAAAACAGTTCACCTAAGCGAGGTACTTTACAAAATTGTACTTGAAACTTCACAAATGGATCACAAGGCACCAGAAACTTTGCCCGCATGATTACCAGCATCAAGTACACACGTGTTTAGATCGAAGATTTGACTTGATCATAGTATCATGAGCACATGATCATCAAAATATTTATTAAAACAGTTCAAAAATTTATGATACATCTTTGAGAACTCAACATTTACTTCTCCATCCAATCTATTTATACTACGTTGAACAGCATGAATCTATGCTAAACCTATTTGAATAGTTTCAGAAGCAAAAAAATATCACGTCACTCTCAAGCTCAATCATTGATTATTTATAAAGTTACAGGTTAGCAATGCCCATTGACGTGGCTAATAAATAAACAAACTTCATGTCAGTGAATTTCATTTCATCATGCAGATGTACAAGGTTGTGGATAATGTGAAATTTAAAATGATATGTACCACCATAACACGTCTTAAACGTGTAGAATGAAATGATTGGGCTCTGTATTGTTACTCGCAAAAATAAAAATATATGTGATATATTGTTTCAACCTCCACTTTCCGCAGCTCGCTTAAGAGAGACTCTGATGGATGTGTAATTGTCTTGATAATTTGAGACCTCTGAAATGCAGAAGATAGAAAGTTGCCATCAAGTTTTCTGATATAATCATAAGTAAGTACTAATCATCAAGAAAATGAACACTAACATAGCTGTCAACAAGTGTTTGAAGGTCAAGCTGCACTCTTCCCAGTAAAGACAATGTACCCCCTGCAGATTGATTAAAAAATATTTTAGAAATTAACGTTTCTTTGTAGTCATTTTCATATCAAATAATGGACTCCACTCAGAAAGTCTTGGACTTAATTCTCTTCAGAGATCTATTATCTAAGATATAAATTCATAATCGAGATAAACATCAGACCTTGTCTGTTTCAAATCATCAGAAGATTGACTCTGGCTCACAGAAAAATTGACAGGATAACAATTAAGAGGTTTCATTTGGTTAGATTAAAAAAAACCCTATCAAAGAAAATAAATAAATGTATTGCTGTCACTCAAAGTTCAATCAAAAATCAACTTGCACGTATGCATAGAGGAACTGGCTCGCTCACCACTTTCTCCATCAGCATGCACTGCAGTTTTCTCCAATAAACAATTACCCATCTCCAGCAGTGACTCCGAGAACTCTGCAAATGAAAATTTAATATCTTGTTGACATAAAGTTTAAGTATATAAACAAAGTGTTCACAAAGATATGCAAAAATCATATCATCTAAACGTGCATGCTCTCAGATAATGGATTTATTTCTATAAGAAACAATTCGCTAGATACCTTCTGTTCAAACCACTTAGACCTCTTTTAAGTTTCAAAGTTCCACTTGCCAACTTTTCAAACAGGTGAGAAGTAGAGGTCATATTTGTAACATGTAAGGTTATTTTCATACCTATGCACGCATATTATTGCAACATTACCACAATCTCTCCACTCATTTCTTTGAGAAAATCAACACACCCCTGTTTTATTTTCATTTTTTTCTTTCTGATATATTTCATTTACTAATACAAATGGACACTATATTAAAAGGTTAAGATATATGGTGGAAGGTAATGTCAGTCAAAGATTATAAAATGATCCCATACGGAACATCAAATGCTTTTTCCAACAGGACTGCTCATTAAAATGAACATGAAACACTAACCACTTAAATGTTTCAAACCCATTGTATCTCATAACATAATAAGCTTAAAAAATATAGTTAGTTTACTGAGGTCATCTCAAGCTAAAACTTCATGTAAATTTTCACCATTCATGTTGGGCGCCTCCTCTACCTCCTAATTTTTCCTACTCCCAGCCTTTGCTATTTTTCTCATAACTTAGGTGCGTTCCAACCCCATTTTACATTCTTTCAGAAACACTTGACAAGTGTTGTATCAGGTCTTGAAAGTACACATGTCTCGCTACAAACTTGAACATAAATAGAGGCATCATGAACTTAGGTGAGAAAAGACTAAGAGCATACAGTGGAGCTTTTCTATGATCTAACTTTAAGCAATACACATCTGAGGCTCTTGAACTCCCAATAATGTAAGCTTAAATGCTCCAAAAATTAATAAAAAAAATAAAAATGGGACAAACTACTAAGCAAGACAGTAGATATTTAACTCAGAGAGGGTTAACTGTAAATCATCACAGCAACATAAGTGTGAACATGTCCTTCAGTGTACGATACCTATACTAAAATGTATAACTCCCAAGTAACATATTGCTTACGGAAAAAATACCATAAGCGCTATTCGCTGTTGCAGCAGCCGCAGAAAGCAATCCATCATAGCATGTTCTCATGTCTTTCATATCCTGCAAGTACAATGCAACAATCAAACATAAGACATGGTGTAAGATCCTGCAGAATAAAAGAATGCAGGCAAATGCTTTAATTATGGCCAGTTCAATTATCAGTATCTAATAAGCATCAACCTGAAAGAGGAGATATAAAATAAAACAGTAAGACATCGTAACAATTTTACTTGTTCACAATAACCCACTAATGTGTAATTAACACTGACCAAACTGAGTCCAGTAACCTCAATAATATATGAATGTTCGGCAAACTCGGATAGAGGGAAAGGGAAAAAAAAAAAAAGTTGATGTATTTCGAATATTTTTAGTCGAAGGCCCACATATATAAACTAGAAATACGATTAGAGGGTTATGCCCTAAATAATCACCCAACTCAATGGACTGCCAATCAGCACTGACTAAGCCGATGCACCACATGCCCATGAAAATGACCTAGGACCTCAATTTCATCAAACAGTCGCTCAAGAACTACGAAAAGAAAAATAAAAACGAACACAATAATCGGACAAGCGCGCGCACCTTTGCTGCTTGAGTCAACCCATCGATATGCACCGAGATATGGTGATCCCAATTTTCTTCCACCACGCTCTTATTCAGCCCCAATTTTTTCAGCTTACCCAGAGGTGATTTCATACTCGAGCTACTATTAACTCACTGAGAGATTGTAACTCCTCTCACGCTTGGAACTAACAGGTCGAGATCCTTGTATTTCCCAAATCAAAGATCAACTGAAAAGTGAACAGTGAAATGGAGGAGTAGAATATATTATACAATTTGGAGAGAGTAAAGAGAAGAAAATTCTAACGTTATTCGCCGAAATTGAAAAAGGGCACTTGTTGCTTGTCACAGACTTCATATAGTGACTGACCTCTCGTATTCAATGTCCTTTTGCGTAATTAGATTGGTCAAAGAGTGAAGAATCTTCTCCTTTTGCCTTCTCTACAGTGTTGTTCAGTGATAACTCAAGTCGCGTAGGAGAGTTCGTACTGTCATAAAGGCTGGAAATGCTTTGGCTACCAAGTCCGTCCCAAGTGCACGCTTGTTTATAATTTTTTTATTAGTTTTTTGGTTTATTAAGTTTGAACAAGTCCCAAGTGCACGCTTGTTTATAATTTTTTATTAATAGTTTTTTGGTTTATTAAGTTTGAAAAAGTTGGCTGAGTTACGTTTGAGTAAGATTTTGAGTTTATATTAAAATATTTCTATTATTCTTCCATTTTATTTAGTCTTTTACGTAATAAAATCCCTTAATTCTGGAAATTAATTATAATTTTCTAGTATGAAATCAATCACATATGCACATAAATAGTGATCATCTACCCTTATGCTAACAAACAAAACAAGAAATCATGAACTGAATAATAAATAAGAATGAAGAAATTAATATCGAATCATAAATAATATCAAAGTACAACAACCATAAGATCCTAAAAGTTTAGCCTCTCAATATTTTTATATAACTAGAAAGGTATAAATAAAATATGAGTTCAAGATTCAAGAATAAAAGAAAGAAAATAGGAGTTTAACCGCCTTTTCAATATCCTTTTTCTTGTGTTCCCTTGCTCATCTTTGAGGTATTTTTCGCTTTTCACGTACCCAAAACTCCTATCCAGCTCTCAAACGGTAGCTTGCTTGGCTCTACAGAATCCTTGGCCCTTGTCTAGTCTGACGCAATCGTGGGTCCAAACGAGTCCCAACTTGACTCCGACCCATTGGTCATGGTTTCTCAGCCGTTTATATGTTGTTTGTTAGTTTGTATACTCAAAATTTTGCTTTGGCCCATACCAATTTATATTTTCAATGAGAATCATATTTAGTCAAAAGTGTTTATGTTTTATTTTATATATGATAGATAATGCAGATTGTTAACTTATGTTATATAATAGATAAATGGTGTGTTGTGTGACTTGTGTCACACAGAAGATTATATGATCGGTTCCTTATAAAATGTAAATGCGGTTCACAACCAAGATAGCAATGTATAAACTATTGAAATAGTTGTAGTATAATTTGGAATTACTTTATCTTAACTAATAAATTATATTAGTACACATTTTATACTAATTTAATAAAAGAATTATACCTCAATTATTACTCGTCCTTTTAATTCAGATATAATATGAACACATATATTCAATATGTATTTATTTTATTTATCAAAGAGTGAAATTAAAACTAGTAAGTCAATAGACTCGGCGAATTGAGAAGTAGGTATTGCTTATATGGTGTGTTGTTGATTATAGAAGGAATCAACGTCTTGATGAATCGATTGATGTTGTCCCCGAAATGAGATCATAAAGATTATTATGTAAACACTGCAGGTAGATTTAATTAAGCATAATAATAAAGTTGACCGGTATGAGTTTTGCAGATAAATGATGTTATGTCATTAAATTAATTAGTCGAGGAGAAGAGCAGCGTGGGAGCCGGCGGCGGAGGTTGATTCGTAGAGGAGGAGCAGTAGGGTTTTCGGCGAGGTCGATTCGCAGGTGAGAAGAGGAGCAAAACAACAAATGCGCGAACGGATGAACGGACATGACCCTCTTTTCTCTTTATTTTTCCTGAAGATGGGGAATAGTAAATACCTATTTCCCGAAGGATCGACATACCGAGAAGGAGAGGAGCAACGGGTGATTGAATGGGTGTCTCTTCTCTCGATTGAATTGGTAGAATTGTTTAGCAAACGGATGGGAGCCACATTTTTCTCTCTCGATTCATGACGAGTTAACGGGTGCTTNAAACACTTAGCACTCTTGAAACCTTCTTCTCACTGTACTTTTGCCAAAGACGAGGAATAGTGAAAAATGTGGGGGTAAATTGGGACAAACGTGCCAAAATGGAGAGAGAATAAAAAATTGGGTGTTAGTAGAAACAATTTGTTTAGGATGATATTCATATCTATGGGATGTTTGCATGCATGTATGTCGAGTGCATTCTTGGGGAGGTCTTTCCAATGAGACCTTGTCAACGAGTAATCACATAATGCAGACATAAAATAACATTAGCTATTTTTGCGTACAACGTGGTTGAGGATTGAGTATTGTGGTTTATTGTAAGTTGAATTTGTTGACACTTGCTATTTTAGTGAGGTGGTCGAATATTTCTTGTTAGTTTTGAAAACTAGGTTGATTGAGTTTCGTGGTTGTTTAAAAGTTGGGTTTGTTGATATTGGACATTTCGTTGAGGTTGATGAATGTGTCTTGGGAATGAATGCATACTTGGTTTATTGAGTACTGTGGTTGTTTGTATGTTTGGTTTGTTAATACTGGTAATTTCGTTGAGGTTATTGAATGTGTCTTGTTACTTCTGAAAACTTGGTTGATTGAATATTGTGGTTGGTTGTGCGTTGAGTTTGTTGACATTGGGAACTTGATTGTATGTGACAGTTTCTAGGAGATCCAAAAACATTTTGGAAAAAGTTTCTTTTCATTTTGCTAAAAATATTTTCTTTTGTTCAATTTTCCCCAAAAATCATTTATGGAATATTGATTTTTCTTATGAAATTTCAAAAATATTTATTATATTCCAGAAATCGTTTTCGGAAGGAAATATTTATTCCAAAAATATTTGTTCCAGATTCCCTTAATGGAATGAAATATTGTTCCAGAATTTGTTTCTCAAACATAATTTTTTTTTTTTTTATGATTTTATAGAAAATATTTCTTTCATTCCATAAAAGATTTTCAGAACAATATTTCATTGCTGAAATCGTTTCTGCAAATATTAGTTTTTCTTCTCAAATTCTGAAATATTTTCTTATATTCCAGATCTAGAATGAAATATTATTCTAGGAATCGTTTCTGGAATGAAATATATTGTTCCAGATATAATTTCTGAGATAGATTTTTTTTTTCTTTTGGATTTTATAGAATTTTCTTTTTTCATTCCAGAAACAATTTTTTAGAACAACATTTCATTCCAGAAATCGTTTCTTGAAATATTGATTTTTCTTCTGAAATTTCTGAAATATTCCAAAAATTGTTCTTGAATGAAATATTGTTCCAGAAGTATTTCATTCCAGAAATTGTTTCTGGAATACAATATTATTCCATAAATCATTTATGGGACATAATTATTTCTATTGAATTTGTAGAAAATATTTTCTTTCATTTTAGAAATGATTTGTGGAACAATATTTCATTCTGGAAATCATTTCTGGAAATATTGATTTTTCTTCTGAAATTCAAACAATATTTTCTTATATTCCAGAAATTGTTTTGAAATGAAATATTATTACAGAAATCATTTCCGGAATATTTCATTCCATAAATCATTTTTTGGAATTAAATGTTGTTCCAAAAATCGTTTATGGGACAGAAATATTTTTACCTGATTTAATAAAAATAATTTATGTCATTCCAGAAATGATTTCTAGAACAATATTTCATTCTAGAAGTCATTACTGGAAACAATGACTTTGTCTGAAATTAGAAATATTATCTTATATAATGTACTATTGCAAAAGAAGTTTTATTTGAGTCTTTTTAACCATTATTTATGAGTTTTTTATTTTTTAAATTTTTTCGTGTACCTTAGTACACACCCTTTCAGTCTTTTTTCTTCTGTTTCAAAATTTAATTTCACCATCAAATTCTTAATAAACATTAAATAATGGTGCACTATGAAAAAAGAAATATTATCTGAGCCTTTTTAACCATTATCTATGAGTTTTTTCGGTTTTAAATTTTATCCTGAACAATATATTTCAATACATAAATGATTTCTGGAACAATATTTCATTCCATAAACCTTTTCTGGAATTATTTATTTTTCTTTTGAAATTCAGAAATATTTTCTTATATTCCAGAAATCATTTCTGGAATGAAATATTTATTCCAGAAATCGTTTGTGGAATGCAATATTGTTCCGAGCCGCGGCTGACTTACCCTTTTGGCCAATTGGAGTTGAGGGTCCAACCGACATTCAACCCACCTCCCAGCCAGTTGGGAGACATCATCCGGCTGTGAGACACTCCACTTGCCAGGCTGCCAAGCTCCCACGTCCAGACCGCAACTGAGATTCGAGTTGCATCTGACCTATCCTCTCGGCTAACTGGAGTTGAGCGTCTAATCGACCTTCAACCCGTTTCGCAACCGGCTGTGAGACGTCAACCGGATGGGAGACACTCCACTTGCCAAGCTTGCACGTCTAGGCCGCGGTTGAGATCCGAGCTGCAGCTGACCTACCCTTTTGGCCAACTGGAGTTGAGCGTCCAATCGGCCTCCAACCCACTTACCAACCTGCTATGAGACGTCAACCAACTTCCACTTTGCATATCAACTAGATGTCACTCTTGAGCCACAATTCAATCTTGCCAATATATGAGCACCCAACCTCGACCTTGACATCCAACCTTAACCTCATGCCTCTTTTCAAATGCCCGACCACCGACGACCAACCACCAACGACCGAACACCACAAACCGATTACCGACAATCGGCTATCATCCAACGTCCTCAGCTCTGGCAGAAGGCGAAATCTGACGACCAGAATTCTCACCCGAGCCCTAAAACTTCAATTTCTTCAAAATTTTGACCACACAAGCTTAAGATGATGATTCTCCGAAAAAGTATTTGCTTACCCTTCTTTGAGACATTATTTGAGAATTTTGGATTTGTTGTTGTAATGAGCTCTCGTGGGGTTGTATTTTGTGTTTGATGGGTCTACTTCTGGATCTGAAGTGAACCGGTAGTTTTGAGCTCCGATCCGCCTTTGAATCGTTGCTAGACCGTCGTAAACACCTGCAAGAACTCAACGCCGGAAGTGTTTCCGATGTAGAGCCTCCGACGCTCAAGTCAGTATGTGGAAAAGATGAAGAAGAGGGCTGC